AGCTGTGGAAAACAGCAGGCTTCAACCATAAGCAAACCTGCACCTATGGTTCCATGTATTATGCAGTTTTCAGATACAAACTACCAAAGTGCCTGACAAAAGGCATTTGCTCTCGATTTTCATGCAAGTTTAGATTGTTTGGTACTCAAAGCTGGGAAACCACTTACACCATTGGAGGGAGACACTTATGGTTGAAAGCTGATGAAAAAGCATAGCAATAGAGTATATCTGAAGTAATCATTTTTTTTAACACAATTATGAGGGATTAGAATCCTCGTCAAGTTTGTATTGCTGTCTATGTCACCGTAGCTAGATTCATCCTCTTTATTTGTCTTGAATTACTATTATAACTGAAACTATGAAATGCATACATTCATGTTAAGCTTCACTGTACTACTACATTACATAAAAGTTGCACTATTGTGATATCGTTTTAATCAGCATTTAGAGATACAGGTGCATGGGTGCATGCACTGTACAGTGTATACAGAAACTAAAAAATTGCTGGAGGGAAAGGAGGAAGAATTTTTTGGCAAAGGAGACTTTGCATGTCTATTCTGTCAACAATCCCAACCTCATAGCAATTGTTTTATGCTTGTAACTTTACTTCTGTTTTAAAAGTTCCAAGCACTACAATAATGCGTGGCAGACATGCAAGTTTGTCATTGTTCTACAAGATGGCAAATGCAGATGTGCACATGCACGTGCTTGCGTCGATAGAGAGTGATATATGTGTATTGTTTGTGTATAAATATGTGATTATTTAATTTATACGGGGAACAAAGCTGCTATCTTTAGTGGATATTTCCCCCAAGGAAAGGAAAGCAGTTAATTGAACTTACAATTGCCAAATTAGGGTTTTGGGTGGAGAGGATTTACAGCTGAAATAAGAGGCTAGAAAGCTGCTGAATGGCACTGTATGGAGCACAAGCTGTACGCGTTTTTGATGAATGACATTTTAGCAGGCCTAACATCTGTCTTCCGTTGCACACCCATTATTTTTTATTTTTCTTTGGCTCGAAGAGAAAACAGACTTTTGTCTTACTTCACCTGTTATTCCTTCTACAAATCTTAAATACGTCAAGTATCGGTATGATCTTGGGTATACAACTAAAGACAGGCAGTGTGATTTTCATAAAATCTGTTGCGTAAATCTTTCAACATCTTTTCAAAGGAGCTTCTGAAACCTGCTGATAGAGCCTGCCGACGGTTCATATTCAACTTTTTCTTTTAGTAACGAGAAGAAAGCCAAGGTCTGCCAGAGGCATCTAAAATATGTCATAGATAATCACAATAGAGCTTCATCACTCTCTCAGGTCATATATCACAATGGCTCACAATAGGTTTGGACACAGTGTTCTGGGGCTGACTCCATAAAATGAAAATAGACATCAGCTTGGTGGTCATTTTTAGTAATAAGCTCATTTTCTGTGCTGAAGGCCCATATTAGCTACTGAGACTATTTAAGAAAGCATAGTGTAATGACATGGTAAGCTTCAATCTGCCCTCCTAGCATAATTATGTTGTCATGTGTCATGTTTATGGGGTCAGCATGTTTTCCAAATGGCCTCAAAACTTAGTGGCCAGTGGTAACAATGCCTTCTGTCTGTGTTATCACTCTTGCCTCTAGTTACTACTTAAATAGGGTACATGAATGACATGATGACAATGAGGATTACAGGGGCTTCTGCCGTGCCATCCTCTCCCCAGCTGTTGTTAGAGTCTGAGTGCAATTCCACTGTTGGTAAAAGGACAACAGCCTAACGTTGAGGACAGCAGTCTGGAATGCAGAAATTGGAGCCTTTGTCACTGTTATCTGTCCGAGCTGAGAAATTTAGTAAAGAAAACTGTCATTTGTCGGATTTTTCTCAATAGGACAAAGTCATAATGCTCTCACCATGGATAAACTGTTGCATTTGGAAAATTAACATTTTTTTTTTTTAATCAGTCAGACCATTTGTGGTTTTCTGTCACCTGGGTCTAGTCACTATCTGATAACAAGCCCAATTATCACTAATGTGATTAAAGTTCTGTGTTAGGGCTGCATTTAGAGATTGGTCTGCCTAAAAATGCATGAGGGGTGACATCATTTTGATTAGGACCAACACTTAGGCTTTCAACATTGTACGAGATTATTATTGTGAAAGTTAAAGTTAGCCAAAAAAAATTACGTTTTGGATAGAGTGAGGATGGTTTAGAATATCTTTCAGTTTTTTTCTAATATCCAGGTCTTCATTAGAGAGAAAATAAAGGCTTCACCAGACAGGAAGTGAGAGAAAATCCCCAACAAGGACACAGACAGGGGTTCTAGCCTTCCCTTATTCTACTAAACAAAAAGATTTTTATTTCTGTTGGAGAGTTCCCTTCACTTCCTGCCTGTTAAAATGTTGTCAGTAGGACAGGAAGAGAGAGGAAATCTCTCCAACAGAACTCCCGATTGCAGTAAAAACCTGATCCAAAACTAAGAAAAAGATTAGGTGACACATGCCCAAAAAAAGTGCATTGTATTTTTTTGACTCTTGATGAATAAAGTAACATGTGGTAATGCGAACACATTAGAACATTGGTGGGTAATGGGCTAAATAAACTCCACCCCATGCCAGCACAGGGAAGAAGAGCTCCAAAGAACTCTGTGCCATCATCACTTACGAATTATTTGGGCAGTTTGTTATCTTTTTGGGGACAAGCTTGTATTTGAACAGTAGATAGAGGTCCACAGGCTGCTAGACCCCACGCCAGATGTCACAGGCTATTAGCTTCAGTAGGTTTATTATGTAGCAGCAAACATAATTTAGATGGCCAGCAGGGTATCCTTAACATGGCCGGATCACTGCTAAACAACCTAATAGTAGATTTTCACCTAGTAAAACTGCACTCAGGTACACCAGCAGATGGCAACCCAAAGCCCTCTTCACCCCTATATTCTCCATTTTCACTTTGTGAAAATCTTTGTCAATCTGGTGTTTAAATGGTAAAGTGTAAAATTCAAGCCCAAACGTTTTTTTTCACATGATATGCCATTTTGAGCATTAGATAAGTAATATTGGAGGTTGATGAATCAGGCCCAAATCTTGGGTCTCGTAAAAACAGCACCCTTCATTTCCACTGCTGGATTTATTTAGAGGTGTCCAGATGTGGGGAGACGAGCAGAAATAACAGTACACACATGGACACACACATATACACGCACACTACATGTATGTTATTCCTCTAACCCTCCTTTCAGCAGTGACTATACTATAAACTGCATCTACTTGATCTGTACAGTGCACAAATGTAGATCAGGATGTGTGTATGGTGTGTATGTACTAGGTCAGAGGTAGCCAAACTTCAGCCCTCCAGCTGTGGTGAAACTAAAAATCTCATCATGCATCTGCCTCTGGAAGTCATACCTGTGACTGTCTTGCAATGCCAATTGGGTCTTGTAGTTTCAGCACAGTTAGAAGGCCGAAGTTTGTCTACCCTTGTACTAGACAAATATTAGATTTAAAACCTATGTCAAGCTATATACTGACTAAATAATGTAACTTCACAGTTTATTTAGCCTTTGTTGTTCTACTACATTTTGGGCTGCTGGTCAGTTAGCTTCCAAGTTTGGAAATAATGTAAAATCTGCGCTTATGGAAGGAGTGAAATATAAAAGCTGCTGCGCTATGGTTTGTAGAAACTGTGAAAAAAGTGAATGTGCAGCGCTGCACATTCACTTTTTTCACAGCTTCCAAGTTTAACCGAGCTGTCAAATCTCGTTAACATTCCTCTGTAAGAACATGATCATGTAAATTGTATGTGATGTCAAAAACAAGAAAATTGTAGCATTCTTTTGAAGCCTAGAAATTACATTTACACTAAATTGTGCTGAAACAAAATGCTAATGACATACGAAAGTGGAAAGCTTGTACAGAAATAGATAGGTAACTCAATTCTTTCTGCATTAGCCTAAGCTGTCATTCTCTCATGGAGGAATCTTAATGAAAGCTAGAAGTATTTAATTGTCTCTTGGAAGCCTGTGTAGAATGTTGTTTTTCTAGTGTTTAATGCAGACAGGAGGAGCAGCTATTCTCAGTCTTTACAAAGATCACCCCAAGTATTACTGTGCTTTTGACAATAACTTTAGAGATGCAGACTGTTAGACATGTGTTGCTCTGCATGTACAGATACCAACACGTCTGTAGCTTGGTCATAGTTAACTTTTTGAACACTTTAAGGTAAACCTTAAAATCAGGTTAGTATGAATATGTGGGATACCATTAACATGTTTCCATTTCTTCTCATTGATAATAATACTTATAATAGGCACATGGTATGGTACAAAAACTCTTATAGTCACATAATATATAATTGAAAAGACAAATATATAAGACATTTAGCTATGTGCGTAATCGGCATGTGCAAATAGTAGTGGAGAACTTTGGAAGATCAAGAAATCTTACTGGTAATCTGAGAGTGGCTTAATTGCACTAAATCCTGTTATGAATGATTGTGCCATACAGCGAAGTTAGTCCATTCATAGCCAGTTTGTACACTCCAGTTCTAAAACCAAAGTTCCATTAGTGTTGGATAGAGCCAGTAGTGCTAAGTGGGCATCTAAGCTGTGCCCCCCCCCCCCCCCCCCCCACTCCCCCCCCCAAAGAGGGGGGTTTTCCCCCCCCCCCCCCCTCCACTGCCCACCACAAAAGGGGAGGGTCTGGAACAATTAAAACATCACATGAACATGTGTGGTGACATCATCATTGTACTTGAGCTCATGGGAACAAAGGTACAAGCCATGCAAACATAAAAACAATTCTCTTCAGCAGTAGAAGATTCACTGTGGACTAGATAACAACAATCATGCTGGCCTATACCATTTTATATAACAGGTTATGCTGCATTTTACTTGTATTGCATACATAAAATGAAATATATGTGCCATAACCCCCCCAAAAAAAGCTGGCGACATAAAAAGGAATTTGTATAAATGTATCTATATATAGCTATATCTGTTGGAAAATAAGCGTTACCTAGCTTGGCCAATGGATGCACAACCACAAGAGCTGAAGGTCTTTGCATATTCCCCCGGAGACGTGTCCAGCTGTGTGTGTTCTTCCTATGCATTCTTATTATTGATGGATGCAACCAGTCAGTCAACCATATGTGGTCCTCGAATGCAGCTATACCAAATGGATGGCCTGCAAAATGTATACAAGTATAATAATCGGCAGCTGTTACCTTGTATTACACATTTTAATAAAACTTTTAATAACCTATAGATGAAGAGGGTAATGATGAACTAATGACTATGTTGTCTGTCCACTAGATTAGCCACCCCCTATACCAGGGGTAGGTGGTGCAAATACAAATCCCATTAGGAATTGCAAGACTCTGACAGCTCAGGCCTGACTCCCAGAGGCAGATGCATGTTTGGATTTGTAGTTTTACCACACCTGGAGGGCTGGAGTTTGCCTGCCTCTGCCCTATACAGTGCAATGACAACAGTGAAAAAGGTGGCTAGGGTACAGTGGAGATGTTGATTTTTTTTACTTACTACAAATTATATACACACGATTACAAAAGTCAGATGAGTGTGAAATAATACCACCCTTGGGGCTTCATGTATAAAAGTTCCACCCGACTACTGCTCGCATAGCACTAGCAGCCCTAGATGGTGTTGATGAGTACAGGAATTTCCTATGCTAGTCAGCACCATCTAGGGGCGCTAGTGCCATGCATTATACAGAGGAAGAACTTTTATACATGAAGGACTTAAGGTATAACTAAAGCCAAAATCTGCTTTCTACTTTGGATGGAGTGAGGAACGATTGGAAACCCTGTGAGATTTTTATTGCTGTCCATGTCCTGTTCTGGTCACAACTGTCTAAGAGGGGATTTTTGCTCACTTTAGAGAGATTTCCTCTCACTTGCTTATGTGTCTCTGGGGACAGGAAATCAAAGGAAAGCCATCTAATGTCACACAGACAGCAAAAAATAAAACTTAAAGGAGTTTTATCCAGAACTTGAAAAGAACATTTTGGTTTTAGAAACACTTTAACTGTGTTTTTTTTATAAACTATTGACACATTTTTATACTGCTTTGATACAGTCTGTACACACAATTACTAAAGACTGATGGATGTGGAATAATACCACTTTCACAATACAACTTATAACTCAGATATCTGCATTGCTTATGTACTTTGAATACATTTACATATAAACATAATAACCAAGTTGTAATTAATGCTTCTACTACATTACATTCACACAGCAGCAGTTGTCTGTACGTATTCGGCCAGAAAAACAATGCACTTTAATGTGCACTGTTCAGACATTTGCGGCGGCCGCACGGTATGAAACCATGCAGCCCGCAAAATAGTACAAGCGTGATTTTTTTACAATTCCGCACATTCGCGGCTATATAATAGCCACAAACGAGCGGAATACTTGCGGGTGAAAGATTTTAGCGTTTGCATTGCCGCGCGGTCTTCCGCATGGGAAATGCAAACGCTATATGTGAATGAGGATCTCTATTGATCTTGGTAAGATGACATCTCACACATCAATAACAAAGATAACACCATACACTAGGTATTTGAGGTTTAAATAACACAAGTTTCAGCTGCATACTCCCTACAGAGGTTCTAATCAATGGCACCAAATCTTGAATATTCTAATATTTGAAGTCATTTGTTCACATATATTACCTTTATCTATATACACTATTTAAAGGAAGATCTACAGGTCTATTCACTAAAGGGTGAAGAGTTTGGAGAAGGCAGGAGAACAATCTAGGACAACATAGCTGAACTGGATAGTGAGCTGAATTGGAGAATTTTTCCAAATCAGCTATTTTGGCCTAGATTGTTCACTTCTCCTGCCTTCTCCAAATTCTTCATCCTTTAGTGAACAGACCTGCTAATGTTTGCCTCTTCAAATATGTTGAAAAACAATTTCCAGTGGAGCTGTGTGAGGCAGGCAGGGCTTTTGCATACTGAGCAAGCGCCTAATGATCAGCACTGATCACTGGGTGTTTGTAAATAGCTGAGGACATATTAAGCTTACTATGTCTCCAGTTATTAATGAACAGGAGGTGCTACACATCACCTGTTCATTCATGACTGGGGGACATAGTAATCACTTATTCAGTCTCTGAACAGGCAGGAGCACTCTGAGGCTTCCTGTCTATTCATAACTGGGGAGTTATTCCTCAGTTTGTGAATGAACAGGAAGCATCTGTACTGAATGCTCCTGTTCATTCTGTGCAGGGGCTGTAGAATTAATATATTTATCTGTCATGATGTACAACTTCAAGCAGACTTGTAAAAAGTAAATATGGAAGGTGTTATACAGTTTACACCTTTGTAGTATAGGCATAGATTTTATATTTGCTATGTCATTCTGAACGTAGCTTTAATGTGCTGTTGGTATAGGTGATAGGTCTGTAATGTAAAGAAAGAAAGCATACAAATAATCTGATTTCTTATTTACAAAGTGCTTATTTTTAAATAACAAAATTTATCTGATTTTTGTAATACAAATATTATATAGTAATTTGACAGGTGTTTTTACCAAAACCTCACCTACATCATGGGATAGGCTGTGACGATTGGAGCCATCCAGATCCGAAGATTCAACGACAGATCTCTTGGCATCACACCAATATAGCTTATCAGTGAGGGTGTCCACAGTGATTCCACTAGGCCACATCAGGTTGGTATTAATCACAACTCTCCTCTCCATTCCTTCAAGACTGGAGCTTCCTATTTGAGGAGCAGATCCTATATCTGTCCAAAACAGTCTCCTAAAAAAGAAAAATAAGAAACAGAGGAATGCTAATTATATGGTATGGTATGGTATGGTATAATAAAGTTTTAAATATATACTATAATAGTAAACAATTTTTTTGTTGTTTTTCAAATCTATGAGTGTACCAGAGCACATAAAGGTGACTGTTCTTACATTTACAGCAAAGCTTGTGCTCAGGATCCACCACCCTAGCACCCCGAAATATGTGCTTCTTTTTATGCTGTACAAAACTTCCCCAGGCTCCCACATTTGATGTGCTCCTTGCCTATGCAACCTATTGTTTGACCCGAGCTATCATATGGGTAGCAAGCTTAGTGTTATGCTAATATCAACTTTGAGAAAGCTGGTATTTGCATAGGATTTTGGGGGGACAGCAGTGGAGGATCTCATCAAGCATTGGCACATGTAGCTTAGTGTATCTGCTATTCACTGTTAGCATTAGCAGTAACTTGATTAAAATAATGCACTATTGATTCATACCCAGCCTGTGAATGTACACAAATTCCTCTTGGCTGATGCAAACGTTCATGGATAATTTTTTCTCTGTTTTCTCCATTCAAGTCACTCCTTTCAATGCAGGATTTTCTATTTATCATGAAAAGAAACAAGATGATAAAAGTAATAAATACATTTCTGTTTATTCAAAAAATAAATAAACTGGCAGTGGCACTTAAAGACCTGCCACTATATAGCTATATCCTTATTTACTGTGTACTCACGCATGCATACACTTCGGCTGCAGCATACATACACATACACTGTACACTGCATGCCTAATTCAAAAGCACCCTATATTTGTTGCAGGAGGTATCTATCTTTTGACAGTGTTCACTTGACAAAGCTGCATTGCAAAATAGCCCAGAGTACTATTTCCTACGCGCCCTATATCCCTATATTAAAAGCAAATACATCACTACGACTGCACGCTAATCACCTGACTCCTACCAGGTCAAGTCATTTGCGACTCCTTTGTCTTCTGAGGTGTCACATAATGACCAGCACTTTGTGAGACAAAAGGTTTAATGTACTTAGCATTATTTGTAAGGCTATATTGCTTTCCATTATCATAGAGCAGCACATACAATACCCTAATTGTACTGCTCAAGATACAACTAGATGCATCCACAGTTAGAAATTGTCAGGCATTTTGGGACAGCTCACGGGGCTGTGGAGAGTTAAAAGCAATCTGAACATAGAAGATATGATATGGCGCGCACCCTGACTTCAGGGACATTGATGCATGCTAGAAGATGTTGTATGTGTAACCTGAGGTGTCTACAAACACCGTTGGGTACCTGCAATCACATAATAAGACGACCCATTCTAAAAAATATATGTTTCCTATAAAAAAAAAATTATATCAACCTCCTACAAGAAATATATAGGGTTATTCACTAAAGAGTGAAGAGTTTGGAGAAGGCAGGAGAAGTGAACAATCTAGGATAAAATAGCTGATTTGGAAAAAAATATCCAATTCAGCTCACTTTCCAGTTCAGCTATGATGTCCTAGATTGCTCACTTCTCCTGCCTTCTCCAAACTCTTCACCCTTTTGTGAATAACCCTGCTAGTCTTTTAAAACCAAATATGCTTTTATTTAATCCTCTATAAGATACTTACCCTCTGTCAGTCCAGTACAGCTTCCTGTTTATGGCATCAATCGTAAGTCCCTCTGGTGTGTCTATATCTTCTGTAATCACTTTTTTTCGACTGCTGCCATCCATCTTTGCACTTTCTATGCACTTCAGAGCTGTGTGTGCAAAGTAAATCTAAGAATAAAATTGTACAGACACATAAAACATAATGACTACAGATATGGGTTCTGAATTACTCACAGTAGTAAAATAAATGAATAACATATTATTCATTAATTTGCCCTAAAATAACGTTACAGTTCTATGTCTATAAACTCATATGAAATAAAAGGATATATAACACAGAACATCTGTTTGCACAGATACACACAATCTATCAAGACATATTTATGTATTCCAATTAAGGCTGTTATAGGAAGAAGTACTTAAGCAAGGTACACTTTATTAGCCCACTAAAAACTGGCTAAATAATTCAAACATTCTGTATGCCCCTTGACTTAAAATATTCTAAAACCTTGTACTGCAGGATAGGACATGACTAATTTTTGCTGTCACTATGACTTGCAGATGCACCAACTTGGATGAAAACCATGTAAGGCTGCCCTCTTGTGGTGTATTATGAGTATTACAGTCATAGGCACCTGCTGTGAGGTGAAGACATCTTAATATACTCTTAAAAACTGATCTAACTTTATTATGAAATTCTATTTATTTATTTTTTTATTCTATGATTGTAACATCCATTGGTTAAAATGTATATAGTTTTTTTATTTTTTTGTTTAGTTTTGATAGCGTAAGAAAGGATTAGAACTCCTGTCTGCTTTAAATTACTGTGTCTTTGCTGGGGAGCATCAACTTCTCTCTTTGTTCTGGTGACCATTATCTTTGGAACAGAAAGTTATGGGAAATCTGACATTTTACAGTTGTCTCCCAGTCAAGATGCGAGGGGAAATCCTTTAATGGGGACATCTATTCCAGTGACAACAAAGGCGGGACATCCCTTCACTTTGTTGAGATTGCTGGATTGGCCATGCCGGGATGACAAGCAGGAGTCTATTCATCACGGCAGACGCCACAAGTGTAATATTGTACATTGCGAACAAGCAGGTAAGAATCTTATACTGCAGAAAAGATATGTCTCTTCCACAATAAAAAAAAATGCTTATTTGAAACATTTTACTTGTGGTATCAAGTTCCACTTTAATGTAAAGAATGCTCATTGAGCATGAAGGTGATACGTATATGATTATCCAGAAGCGATCATTTTGCTTTATATTAAGATTTAAAGAAAACAACCCACTACACTATGCCACTGTAGTTCTAGAGGAGACATCACCCTTGCAAATAGACAGTTGCAGCCCTTTGGCTATGATGGTACTGACTTGTATAATTGGCATGATGGGCTAGTAGTTATAAGAGGTAGAGGTGCCACAAAAAAGGAACCAAGTTACTAAACTTCAACAACGAACCTAGACAGGTACTGGACATTCCATTCTTATCAAACATAAAAGCATGAAGCAGCCATTAAACTGTTTAATGCACACCCTAAACCTACCCACTGCTGTACAACAGGCACCCTTCAGTGCATATATGTACCACTTTTATTCCCATCCACCCCCTGATCGGCACAGATGCCCTGATAAAAATCCAGGTGTTTGGGGTAACTTAACCCTTTAGATTGAACAATACGTCTTTAGCTTTACTATATATCGGGGTACACATGGACATATTGGTTTTAATCAGCCTTGCAGACTGAACGAAAAAAACAATATGACAGATTCCTCCATCAACGCTAACAGCGTGGATGAGCGAATCTCCCGCTGTGTACATAATATTCCTACAGCAGAACTTGCTGATTGGCTGCAAACACTGTTTACGGCCACTCGCTCATTGGCTGCAAGCACATGATCCGCCAATGGTTTTATAGCATGTCTACAACTTTTGTTGGAGGTATAAGACTATCCACAGATTGAATTTCAGCTGATTCATAATGAATTAACTTAAATTCAATTCATGTGTATCCAGCTTAACAGCTTAAAAAAAGCCCTACAATTATCCTTTAACCTGATTGTAACACTAAGGGGTCTATTCACTAAGCTGCCGAAGGATCTAGCCGTAGCTTCGGCCGATCCTTCGGCTAGCTTCGGCCCCAGGACCCCTTCGGTTCAGTAGAACCGAAGGGGTGCTGTACGGGCTATTCACTATAGCCCGTACAGCTCCCGAACGTGGCCGAGCGGCTCAGTCGAGCCGAACGCATATGCATTGGCTCGGCGGACCCACGCTGAAAGCCGAAGCTGGCCGAGCGGCTGGCCATTGGCCGGCCGACAGCCTGCTTCTGACAGCTGGGCGGAGCCAGCCGTGATCTTACGGCTGGCTCCGGCCCCTTGCAGAGAGATTAGCATCCCTGGTTACCTGCTAACCAGGGACACTGATCTCCAAACAGCAAACTCTCCCTGGCGCTCCGGGAGTCTCCTGCTCCCGGCCGCCAAGGAGAGAAACACTGCTGTTTCTTTTTTTTCTTTATTCTGATATGTCAGCGATGTCACAAAAGAAAAAAAACAAAAACGTTTTTGCCCATTGGAATGCTCTGCTAGATTCCTATTGGCTATTTCAATTTGCAATAGCCAATAGTAAACTAGCATTGTACCCGCCCTCTGCTGCAGTTCTCCATCAGGTCTATCAGCAGAGGGCGGGTACAAGAGCGCCTGGGAGAGTTTGTTTTTTTTTTCGTTTTTTTTACGGCAGCAGAGCCGCCGGACCTTTCAGAAAATATATAATGTTGGGGGGTTTTACGTCATTTTCAGGCCTAAAATGTGGAATATAACATGGGTGCAAAAAATGAAAAAAGGGCCTCAGTCATGAAGGGGTTAAGGAATATATATAGTGTATTCTGCTCAGAAAAACAAGCCGCAATTCTGTGGATCACCATGAATAAAACAATTATTTCTTGAAATAAAGAATACATGCTGTGGAACAACTCCCCATGTGTACAACCTCTCACTCGTTTCACCGATCTGACTTAATCATAGAGGCGAAGGCAAGCCGGCTTTGCCTGAACCTGTGGAATGATGAACAGTCGGATGCCAGTCTAAGAATTGGAGCGGTGGACTATCTGCACTATGATATATATAGTGTATTGTTACGCTTAAAGTTTTACTATATGCTTTCTTTGGAAGGTCTTTTCTGTCTTTGGAAATGTCACTTTCTGTCATGCACATCCCCTGCAGTGAGTTTTTTGAAGAACTGGATCTGATGTTCTAAATCGTTACATTTCTTGGTTGGGTTATTCGTACAAATTCTGTATTATTGAGTACAGGATGAAAGCATAAATGAAATAATGGAGACATGGACATTCAAAACGGGATAATCCCTTAGGCCATAGGGCTTTGATATACAAAGTATACACAATCTGTTCAACATACACTACCCTATTTTCCTTAGGGTCATGGTCCAGTGCTAAGACTCTCCCCATTTGTGTATCCAGTAGACTGTCATAGTCTGTCCCATCAAAGTTCATTCTCCGGATGTCTTGTACATTTGTAAACAGTAGAAATGGCCGAGGACCTGTACTTAATGCACAAAGGAATATTATTCAGTTGAATATAGGACTAAATACTGTGAAAAAAAAATCAAAAAATGGAAAACAAAAGTCAAAACTACAGTATAGCTAGTATTTTCTAGTGAATAAAAATGGTTTATCTATATACCTTAGCTATGCCCGACACTATCTATTTTTCTTGATTAACCAAGCAAAATGACAAATTATTTAAATAATCTATGAAATCTACTGACCTGAAGCAAGGCAACGCTTCTTATCCCATTGCAGAGTATACTCGGGAAAACAGTCACACTCCCATTCTGCTCTTCTAGTCCTCCTGCATATCTGGCTACATCCACCGTTGTCAGGAGATGAGCAGCCTTGAAAACAACATGTCTGGAGAACTTATGATTTTGTGTTTTATATGCATTTACTATACATAACACATTAACATCTTTTGGGTTTTTTCAAGTATGAAGGTTTGATATATGTTTTTATTTCAGTCCTATGTCATGTTTCCCCTAATAAAATGATGTAATCACACAACTAGGTTTACAAGAAAGACAAAGGCAAATATATCAATATATAAATAAAATATCTGACAATTCTATGTGTAAATTTGACCTTTACTTGCTGAGTTCAGAAAACAACAGGCTTTATTCAGCAAAACAACTAAGATTAGTCTAGTACACCTCTAAATACAAGCATACTGGCTGCAAATGTAAATATAAAATGATTACACAATTCTTCAGATTCAACTAACTAAAGAAAATGTTAAATATTTAGAAAAATTAACTTTTTAGTCAACTTTTTAGTAATCAAGACAGAAAACATATACAAAAAAACACATATTTTTAACATAAATGTTATAGATAAAGTGAGTATACTGTTTTATATATTACTGTATTATCACAACAAACTAAATTTGGCCAAAATGGTCCCCGTATCATTCCATGATGTGCTGTATGTGAAAAGGCTGGAAGTGCAGTACTTGGTGGTAAGAGGGGACAGCTAGTTCATAAATGTAATCACACTCTTTTCTAGAATCTTTTGCATACCTGTACATGTTTTCCCATCACTAGCAAGCACTGATCCTTCTGGGCAGTAGCATATAGGTCCTCCAGCTGTCTGTACACAGCCATGACTGCAGTTTCTATTTTCTTGTAAGCAAGGTGTCACATCTAGCAGATTGAAAAATAGATATCTGATAAAATGCAGCTGTAAGCATTGTGAATTGAGCAAACATCTATAATTAACTACCAGACATATATAAATATTGTGATGGGTAGCAGGTGCTTTCATTTTCTATGTAAACCTAAGTGTTCTCATATGTTGTTCGCCTAAAAAACTGGTATTGTATAAATCAAATAAAGGACGGTCCGTTCTCAGGAATTTACAAACCAGGCTTTTATTCAAAACATGAGCAAAAGACAGCAACCACCTACAAAATGTCCAGACACGTTTCGCATAGCAGTAGCCGTATGAGTAAGCACTGCTGTGTGAAATATACTTTTTTTGTAGGGGGAGTAAGCACTGGATACCTTTATTACAGAACTGTAAATCTTTTATCCTTTCATTAAGAAAGGAGTGACATGGTGGCAAAAAGAGAGCAGAACCAAGAACCATTAAATTGTAGTATGGCATACATGAAAATGAGAACATAAGGACCTGGTTAGTGCTTATGCCTAAAGGGTGTTTGGTTATGTTACATAACGTGTTGGATTGGAGAGGACCTAGCTTTATATATTACTGAAATTGGACTGAAGGTTTGATGACAAGCTGCAGCTGACAAGTATTTGCGAACAGGAATTACAGTGGCGCAAGCTGCAGACTAAAGCTGGCCATACACTTTACAACCATCGCAAGACTTGGTTGTAAGCTAATTAAAAGCTTGTACGATCTGCCCATCTTGCACAGGCAGAACGTACTTGTGATCATCGCAAGCCCGCCCCGCTGAGCGGAGGGCTTCCGATGACTGCAATGCTGAGCTGCCCATGCGGCATTTGTCTTACGAGCATGACTCAAACCAGCCGAAAATCGTACGATTTTCCGCTAGTTTTTCAACACGTGCGTTAAGACAAAAGATGTGCGGCCGTACAGTAGAAACGGTTGCACGCCTTCCATACACCTGCCGATTATCGTACGATAGTGGGATTTCCTACGATTATCGTACGATAATCGGCAGGTGTATGGCCACCTTAACACTGACTTAAAGCGGACCTTCAATACCCATATCCACTTTAGTTTCCTGCAATCCTCACTTCCTATTCTGCAATATAAACGGACCATTTATTTATTCTTCTTATTATTATTTTGTCTTGCTCCACCCCCTCCCCGCCATTCTTGGCTAGGTGAGATTTACCTGTTCCTGCTCCTAAAGCCTCCTGGAATATACCGTCAGATATCCCAGGAGGCTGCAACAGGGACTCACAACGGCCAGTGGGCATACCTGGCCATGCAACATTGGGGGCCAGCTGCAGAACCCAGAAGAGACAGGCACCTACTGATGATGTCAGAGAAGGGCTGTGGTTGGGGATCAGCAGATCACAGCAGGACAAAGCTGGATTCACTGGGCAGGTGAGTATGTTTTCTGCTGAGAACCCAGCATAACTGGTAACAGGGAAAAGGAAAGCAGGACAGGGGGAGTGGTGACGTTCCTCTTTAAACTAGTTTAATGGTTTGTTTTATTTCTTTCACATAGTCGTACATGTTCCGTGCTGTCCGGTCACTTTTCTCTATTTATTTTTATTGTTCTGTGATCATTTATAATGGAGCTTACTCTGTAGCATATCAAATGGCTGCCAGGTGGGAGAGGCATTTTTGAAGGCACTGTGGGGAGAACAGATTTATAAACATTTTTCTGTTCATCATAAGACATTAAATGTCAGGGGTAGGCAACATCGGCACTCCAGTTATGAAAATAAAAGTCCCATGAGGCACTGCAAGACTCTGACAGCCAAAGGCATGACAACAAGAGGCGGAAGCATGATGGGAGTTGTAGTGTCACCACAGCTGGCGTGCCAAGATTGCCTGCCCTTGTTATAAGTCATTATAGTTCATCCTTAATTGCAGTGATCTCTAGAAATATTGTTAAAGCCAATCATTAACATCTCATGGGCTTTAACATGTCAATGTAATTCAAAAATGTGTCCTTAAATTATTTAAATCTACAAATTTAATTTAAACAATACCTAATGATTATTCCATAAAGGTCATTGTTCAGGCAATACCTATTATAAGGTTGACAACTCTCTCCAAATTGTGCTCCTGCTTTGTCATACTGTCACATATACCCCAGGTGAGGACTATAAATGACCATGCCGACACATATTGTACACGCACAATCCTCTGTTGTCACCTTTGGGAATCTAAAGTGGAGAGCATGCATGTGGACATTAAATGGCTGTAAAAGGCTGGAGAAGATCAGCAGCACCGAGATGCAACAAAAGATGAAAAACATTGAAAACATCACTCTATGATTTTAAAAAAAGGCATATCTAGTGCTTTAGCTAATTGTATGTTAACCAGTTGAATTTAGATCTACTTTAAATAATAATTGATTAATTACATATTCTAGAAGCTATTACCAGTCATGTGCAAGGTAATGACAATTCACTTTCTATTACCTTTTAAAAAAAAAAACAGATATAGAAACCAAAATCCTGTTGCATTCACCAAATTTACAGTAAGCTGCTCAAAGGTGGGCAAATCCAGCACATAGAAAGATGGTGAGAGGTCAGATCCAGGGCCGGATTTCCCACAAGGCCAACCAAGGCCAGCAGGAAGTAGAGGGGCAGCAGGGGTTTGGAATTCCTATCTCCTGACACCCGGGACATGTAGTTCCGGGCGCCGGGCGGGTTGCTGTTTTCTACATTTAGCCCTGCTTTGGGCAAGCAGAGCTAAGTGTACAGCGGGTTAGCCGCCGCTTGTTCTGTACAAGTGATCTTGGCGATGTCGCAGAGATCACTTGTATGCAGCCTGCAGGTCTGCCATTCTCCATTGGGGGGGTTGGCGGGTAGGGGGGCGCATTGAGAAACCTGGCCTTGGGGCAGCAGAGAGAGTAAATCCGGCCCTGGTCAGATCACTCAGATCACTAAAGCTTTATGAATGCTCTAATATTTTAACTACCCAGCCCAGTTATTACAAGTCAAGTCTAGATGGTAGCTGCACTGGGTGTGAAAAGTTATGTATAGGGCAACACAGATAACAACAAAGCTGTCAATCAGTGACCAATATATATTCTTTACTGCTCATTATGAGGAACTCATATTTTTTTATTTTAAACCCGCTGTTGTATGTGTGATTGTGCTTGTTATTTGCTGATGAATTCATTTCCCACAGTTTAACAGGAGAAAAAGTGGGGAGGTGAACACTGAACACCCTTATTAAAAAGCTGTTATTTTAATACTGAATCTGTAAATCTTTTGTCCTGTGATTATTCATGCAAGATTTGTTCATGTAATAGCTGCATAACACATGTTTAAAACAATGAAAGGCTAAATCTGTGTCTTGGAGCTAATTCCATTGTACACACTTCCTACAATTAACATTATAGATCGAAATGACAAATTACAGTTGCACAAACATGTCTGCAAAACACAGACACATATTACAGTGCATTTATCTGACTCTTCAATAGTCATCTCATTATAAAACAGCATTTACAGGAAATTTGTAATCTTCTACATTGAAGAGCTAGTCTAAACATTTTCATTAATCTAATGAACATAGAAGTAGAAAGCAAAATAATGAGAGTCGTTAAGTGGCAATATATAATTTGTAAAGTTACCTTAATGCAGCGAGAGTACTCATAAACTAACATGACTGACAGTTTCCTATAAGGTTGTTGATAACATTCTACTATGTAATTAGTGGCATCAATAATTATAGAGTGTAACTAGACCATTCAGGATGCTAGAATTTACTAAGAAAGACCAATGACACAAACCCAAATATTCTAGTGGATTGGACTGGCAAGAATTATAGGAAGTAGAGGGGAATCTTCCCAAAGACATAAAAAAATGCAACAGGGGTTCTAACAAACAAGGAAATAAACAAAAAAACAAACAAAAAAAGTTCTGCCTAGAGATACATCAGTTTTACTAATCATCCCAATGGAGCTTTAAACTAATTGTCTCTCATTTGCTAGTGCAAACTGGAAACATTGCATCCCGGTTTGTAGGAGTTCCCACAACCAGTCCCATACTGATCTGTGGTCTAGGATTTTAATATTTGGGAGAATTTTGGAAGTAATAATTTAGTTTTCATTTAATTAGCCACTTCAACCATCTTTGCTAAATGATATAAATGCAGTATGATTCTTTTTTTAGTTTCAGAATTGGAACATATTTAGCAGAGGCATACTGAGACAGGTGAATCCTACCAAAGTTAAAATTGATTATAGTTTCCTCTTTATCAGAAAGCAGAAAAAGCTTTACAGACATGCAAGCGGATATAAGAAGGGAACAAGAGATTCGTAAAGAAAAATGTCAGGATTTTATGTACAGAATGTAACATGAGCACACAGCATCTAAAGAAGAATGATAATGTCTTAGGCATCTGACCTGAAGGGCCCAGGTGCAGCTGTACCCTCTCTGCACCACCTGCTACTATGCCAAAGATGTTTGGTTAACTGTTATTACAAAAAAAAGAATCGAGAACTGAGAGTCACAAGGCTATATACAGTAACTAACACTTGCCCTGTGTTCCCATTGTTCAGTGTGAATGTTTGTGTACATTACCAGAATGTATGTAGTATTGTTTGCATACTGGTCACCCTGATATCAAAAGAACGCAACACAAACAGAATCTAAGCATGATATACTAGTTCCCCTCCAGCAAAGTTAGTGTTCGGCGAATAGGGACCACACTACAGAAGACTTTTACCACAAAGAGCAGGTAATCTAATGAAAGATAAGGTGTTTGATACTTCTGTAACTGCAAAGCTAACCTCTAACTAAAAAAAATGTTAGTTCATATGGGAAGTCCTATAAAGGCACCTCCTACAGCTTGTGTCACTGTAAGCTTCTGCAGGCTCAGGAAAACTGTCAGTCAGAGCCACTCATCCTCACTGTACTGCTCGCAAAATGTGCAAATAATTTCTCCAGGAGGAAGATGAGCCAACACTTTTTTCATAATAGAGATAACTGGGGGCAGAACTACCGGCATTGCAGCCAGTGCGACCACCCCAGGGCCCAAGGCTGGGGGGGGGGCACTGACAGGGGAGGAGGAGGCCAGGGCTGAGGCCCAGTAGTGGAGGCCAGCAGTGGCAGGTAAAGAGCTGCAGGTGCAGGGAAAGGGACCCCGACCAGCCCACCTGAGACCCTGCAGAGTCCACAATAGAGAGTCTCCATGGGCTGTGCAGGATCTATGGTGGGCTGATCGGGGTCTCAGGTGGACTCTGCAGGATCTCTGATGGGTCCAGAGTCCAGTGCATTGCTAAGTCCTGATTCCAGTGCATTGCTAAGTCCAGAGTCCAATTCATATACTGTTCTGCATTGCTGTATAATGTATTGCTGGGATTTGTAGTCCCTCTACAGCCAGTGCCATTCTGCATTGTAAGAATAAGCTTCTCTGCACAGAAACAAATGTGATTGGCTCAGTGTTCTCTGTACAGCACTGTGGTATATGTCAGAGCTATATAAATGTATAAAAATAGTGTGAGACTGTGGGGGGACATTTGCTCCTCTGGTGCAGAGACCGTTGGGGGGTCAGTGAGATCTGCTCCAGCACCAGGGTCCTTTATTCCTTAGGTCCGCCAGTGAGAGATAACTAAATTTAGTTCTTGGAAGACATCAAAAAAATGAAAGGTAATTCTTAAAATTGTATTTACTAATTTCCCTAGCTGTACATTTATTGTTACTGGAATATCTTGAGGACTGTTGGCAACTAGAAAGTAAGCAATCCAACTGACAGTAGAGAGAAACATCACAGAAGCTTTGGAGCCACCAGTGGTCTAAGGACTTCCATAAGGGAAGGAGTCTAAGAGGTACTTTGTCTTCACCAATGCCCCTCACAGAAGTTGGAACCTGGAGGTGCGGTCACTGCACTCAAGTAGACCAAACAGTGGAGTAAACAGGAAGGCCATGGAGTAAAATAGACCAGGAATCAGCCCCAACCAAGGAGCATTTTTTACAAAGTTGTAAGCAAGGGCGAAAATAGGTACCAAGGCAGGGTCAATAACCAGAGCAGATAGAGCCACGAAGATGAATCCAAACACTAATTTGACATCAGGGACAACTCACTTTAAAGTAACTTTAGTGAAAGCATATGCCAGCACATGTACATGTCGGCAGGAACAATGTACCTCGCTCTGTGAGCATTAGGTAGGAGGTTTGAAATTCCTGAATCACAAACATTTGGCTGAAACATTTGCAGGTTTGAATCATAAACAAGGAACCCCTATAATGTGAATCATAGTCTTTGCCCCTGGTCATGGAATGGATAACCCAGCCCCCTTTCTATAAAAGGGTGGGCTCACAGCAGCCACATTGCCAGTATGTGTTGGTGCTTTTAGGGAGAGTTGACAATTTTATTTATTTTGAAATTGGTATATGTCCCCCATAGCAGTGACCAGATTCCCTTGCCTTTTGTTTAGCCCTAGAAATGGCCAGTATTGAATAACAAGATTCAACCCCTCCAAAGACTTCAATGGGGTTTGCTTTCAAAGTTTGTGAACTGATTCACAAAACTGTTTGCGAACTGAACCCAGGCAGATTTACTCATCCCTAGTGCACATACTATCTTGGGTGTGCAGATAGAGACTGCACGCCAGGTTTAATGTGCACAGCTGGGTTCTCTGATGATTATGAAGGTAGAGAAGTAAACATGTTCTGAACAAATTAGATTCTGCCACAGTTATGATGAAGGAGATGTGCAGAGTAATGGTATTTACATGTACAACACCTTGTAGATGTCAGTGGGAAAGAACTCACCGTGGCATGACTTGTTGTCTGGAAGAAGTACATAACCCCCTGGACAAGTACAAAAATAGGAACCTGGAACATTTTCACAGCCAAGAGTGCAGCCATGGGTCCAAAGAGCACATTCATTTATATCTAAAAAAAATACAAAGATGTGTGATTACATACCTGGACTTGTAAATACATCAAATGTTCATTTCATGTTGTAATATAGACTACATAGAGACCTGTCAGGGCAGAAACTTAAAACAACCCATCTCAGCTGTTTTACTTTTATGTTTAGGTTCACCTGAAATAGAAAGTCTGGAGTGCTGAGCCCCCCACCTTTAACCTTCCTCAATAAACATTTATAGTTTAACAGCTGGGATTGTTTTCTTTTTTCCTAAATATTACACATATTTCTCTTACAGCATTCATTTTCATCGAAGGTGGACATTAATTCTTCTAGAACGAGGAGGGTCTGAGGTTTCTTACACGCATATGTACAAAAAGAAATAGGATGAATCGACCTTACTTGTGTAATATTTAAAGGGAAATTCCTCTTATGGGTATTTAGTGAAGGAGGGAGAAGATTATGTTCTGAATGCATATCTCACCAGGCCCCTGTTTCACCCTCTTTTAAAGAAAAAGCCCACTCACGTTCAGTTTTCAGGGGTCTGTGGCTGAGTCAATCACTTGCTGGTTGATTAAAGTGGAACTGAATTTATAAAGTATGGATTTGCTATGTTATTGAGAAAATTAAGAAATTGTGCCAAAGCAGTACCCTGAAAAATCAATTTTTGTCTGGAATTCATTCTGAAAAAAGGCACTGCCGTTTCCTGGTATGTAAGGGTGCCTAGGCACTCCCATGCCTATAGCCTCATAGCTGTACATCTCTACTAATAGATCAAGGTACTGTTGCCTCTGATTGCTAGTCTTGGGAGATTTGGAGTGATATTTAGTTATGCCAGTATTGTGTTACTCACTTTTCAGTCAGTAATGGGGAATAGATCAGCTGCAGGGAGACCACTGGCCATACTGATGACTAGTCCTTTCCCCTATGCATGCCATTTTTTTTTGGACACAGCTTCATGAACCCAATAAACTGCTGCCGTTCAAAGTTGCAAGCCATTTCATTTGTGCTAATTTATTAAAGGAGTTACAAAATCTCAAAACATTGTGTAAATATTTACTTTAATTGTCCAGTCATGTGACAAGCATCTGCACATGACATAATTGGGTATTGAAAGTGAAAAGGAATTCTATCCTGCTTAGAACAATTGTTTTAAAAGTTCTTTTTTTAATTTGATTGTAAAGGAATACTGAGATAACATAAGAAACTTTATATACGTGAAGTACTGTTAAATGTTTGTTTGTATTGATTAGAATTCTTACAATATAAAAGTAAACCAATCCCAATTCTACTCAGCTTTATGTATACAATAAAGCTTGCTACATACTAGGTTAGCTTAAAGCAGAACTCCAGGGAAAAAAATGTTAACCCTTCCAGTAGGGCTACTGTAAGGATTAAGTGCTCGTTTTGTCTAGGTTAAAAAAAAAAGTTATACTCACCTGATCCCTGGAGCCGGCTTGCTCTTAGACGGGTCCCTTCCACCTTACTCCCCCTCCGCTGCAGCAGTCTAAGGTCCCTGAGCTATTGCATTCTATACACTGGATGTAGGACATGAGGATGCCAGGGACATATCATCACTGTAGCAAAGGAGGAAACAGGTCCCCCCCCCCCTCTGCTGCAGTGGTCTAAGAATCCTTAAAGGAGAACTATGAGGTGAGTGATTTCCACTAATCCTCATAGTTAGAGCCGACCTGTGACAAAGAAGCTGTCACAGGTCGGCTCTATAGATTGGGAAGTGAGCAGAAACATGCCGCCAATCTGCACACTTCCCGATCGTCTCCCTGCAGTGAGCAGTGACTGTCAGTCACCACTCCCCGCAGGGATTCCCCCACCCCCCTCTCCGATCCTCCAGCGCTGAGTGGGGGAACAAATGGGGGAGGGGGCAGGCACAGCTGGCTCTGCCTCTAGATAGGCAGAGCCAGCTGTCACTCACGCAGCTCGGTGAATCCCGACAGTATTGTCGGGATCCGTCCCGGCTGCGGCGCTCTCAGTAAATCGCGAGCAATATCCCGCGATACACTGAGCGGGATATACTAACTGATATATACTGACATAATAACCTCCTCACGGGAGGAGGGTAGTATATGTCCTCCCACGACCCTAAAGAGAACTATGGAGAAAAACACTTACCCCTTAGTTCTCTTTTAAGACGTTCTATACGCTGTATAGGACGTGAGGACACTGAGGGACATACCATCGCTGCAGCAGAGGAGGAGATAGGCTGGAGGGAGTGCTGTCAAAGCCAGCTGGCCAGCTCTGAAGATATCATTTTGTTTTTTGAACTTAGAAAAAGCACTTAACCCTTGCAGTGCAGGAGAAGCCCCACTGCAAGGGTTAAGAATTTAGTTTTCCCTGGAGTTCTGCTTTACCGTAATATTAAACTCTTAAACTTTTTTTCAATAAGGAGTCCAGCTCAAACAAATATACATTGCCCAGCAAAGGATTTCTTCACATTTTTTGCACAAGCACTTACAGCCTCTATGTTTCTGAACAGCTGGCGCTAGCTCTCTCAGCTCCTCTTACCTGAACTTTCTGTCCAGTACAAGATCACAAGGGAGAGCACAGTCTCCAGCAATTGTCCATCTACTAGTTTGGAGAAGGGAGAAGGAGGTGGAGGGAGCAGGAGAGTACTTTGCCTTGCTGAGTACCTTGCCACAAGGTGGGCTCTATAGGACCTTGCAAGGGAAAGGAGCCACCCAAAAACAGGATTTCAGGAGACCAGCTGAATCTTTAGGAAGCTAAAACTTGTAAACTTTTATCACTTTAGTTGTGATCAATCCTTACCTTTATCTCATAGGTAATAAAAAGAGGGTTCATCTCACCTTCACAGTGTCTTCCATCAAAAGAAAGTTGAAACCCTTCTAAGCATTTACAGTGTTGGTTTGCTGCATCAATTTGACATGTTTCCGTACAAGATTCATTTCCCTTAGTGCAAGGATCAGGCTCTAGAAATATACAGTACATAAGAGTATTTTAATGTATGACCTTCATCTCAGAATTATACAATATATGTCATTCATATATAACTTAGAATTAGAGACCATATACATATTTGTGTGAATTTAAGAACATAAATAATAGCAGGAAATGTATCTTCCTGTTTTACAGTAAAGTCAGAGCAAAAAAAGTTGCAAAAGGGTGTGGTTTGCTCATCATTTAAAATGGACACAATCAATAAAGATATGTGATTTTCATGTACAGTATCTTGTATCGTGTATGTTAATAAAAAAAACATATGCAGTACACGCATGGCATGCAATACATATACACTTCCTCATGTGTTATCTCTAAAGAGGAAGTTTACCCATTTCATCAAAATAACAACAAACACACTTTTAGAAATGTTTAGTAATGACAAGATACAAACACATACTTCTAGATAATTGCCGGCTTTGTACTCTTTGCATACCTTGTTTTTCTTTTCCTACCCATTCTTCTCACGGTGGCCATTTTTACTAAGGGCAAATTAATCCATCTTCCTTTACTTCCTGGAACTCTGGCACATGGGACTAGTACATGTGACCATGCACATCATCTCAGGGGAGGAAAATGCCTTTCCCTGAGATCTCATGAGATTACAGATGAGATCAACAATCTCTGGTGCTTAATATACACTATATTGCCAAAAGTATTGGGACACCCCTCCAAATCATTGGATTCAGGTGTTCCGTTAAATTTCCTTGGTACTAAATAGTCCACGGTCAACTGTTAGTGGTATTATAACAAAGTGGAAGCAGCTGGGATCAACAGCAACTGAGCCACGAAGTAGTAGGCCACATAAAATGACAGAGCGGGGTCAGCGCATGCTGAAGCGCACAGTGCGCAGAAGTCGCCAACTGTCTGCAGAGTAAATAGCTACAGACCTCCAAACTTCGTGTCCTTCGGATTGGCACAACAACAGTGCGTAGAGAGCTTCATGGAATGGGTTTCCATGGCCGATTCTCTGTCTGGCAATCCGATGGACATGTCTGGGTTTGGCGGTTGCCAGGATAACCGTACTTGCCTGCATGCATTGTGCCAAGTGTAAAGTTTGGTGGAAGGGGGATTATGGTGTGGGGTTGATTTTAAGGGGTTAGGCTTGGTCCCTTAGTTCCAGTTAAGGGAACTCTTAAGGCATCAGCATACCAAGACATTTTGGACAATTTCATGCTCCCAACTTTGTGGGAACAGTTTGGGGATGGCCCCTTCCTGTTCCAACATGACTGCGCACCAGTGCACAAAGCAAGGTCCATAAAGACATGGAGGAGCGAGTTTGGGATGGAAGAACTTGACTGGCCTGCACAGAGCCCTGACCTCAACCCGATAGAACACCTTTGGGATGAATTAGAGCGGAGGCAGTGAGCCAGACCTTCTCGTCCAACATCAGTACCTGACCTCACAAATGCGCTTCTGGAAGAATGGTCAAACATTCCCATAGACACACTCCTAAACCTTGTGGACGCCTTCCCAGAAGAGTTGAAGCTGTTATAGCTGCAAAGGGTGGGCCAAGTCAATATTGAACCCTACGGACTAAGACTGGGATGCCATTAAAGTTCATGCTCGTGTAAAGACAGGCATCCCAATACTTTTGGCAATATAGTGTATCTATAATAGCTCAATATCCAGTAATATTCTGTGCATTTAGGAATACATCCAGATTTTTTTTTAAACAGTTAACTGAGCTAGCTAGAACTAGCTCCTGGGGGAGTTTATTCCACATTTTCACAGCTCTAATTGTGAAGAATCCTTTCCGTATGCAAAGGTTAAACCTCTTTTCCTCCAGAAGCAAAGAGTGCCCCCTTGTCCTTTGCAGTGATCTTAAAGTGAATGATTTGGCACAAAGCTCACTATATGGACCATTTATGTATTTATACATGGTGATAATGTCCCTCCTTAATCGCCACTTCTCCAGAGAGAACAAATTCAGGTCAGCTAATCTTTCCTCATAACTGAGCTCCTCCATGCCTCATATCAGTTTAGTCGTCGCTGCACTTTCTCCAGTTCCACAACATCCTTTTTGTGAACTGGTGCCCAAAACTGAACTGCATATTCCAGATGAGGTCTTAGTAATGCTTTGTACAGGGGCAGGATTATGTCTCTCTGTCTCTCTGGAGTCTATACCCCTCTTAATACAAGAAAGTATTTTGCTTGCTTTAGAAACTGCGGCTTGACATTGCATGCTATTATTCAGTCTATGATCTACCAGAACACCCAGATCTTTCTCCATCATTGACTCCCCCAAACATACTCCCCCTAGAGTGTATGACGCATGCATGTTTCCAGTCCCCAAGTGCAGAACTTTACATTTATCAACATTTAACCTCATTTACCAAATAGTTGCCCAATCATACAGTGCATTCAGATCTGCTTGTAGGTTGGAGACATCCTGTAAGGACTGTATTCTACTACATAACTTGGTGTCATCTGCAAACACAGTAATAGTACTTTTAATCCCCAATTCTGTAATTTAGAAATAGGTTAAACAGTAAGGGGCCCAACACTGAACCTTGGGGGACACCACTAACAACCTCAGACCATTCAGAGTATGAATCATTGATCACCACTCTCTGAATACAGTCTTTAGGACAGTTTTCTATCCAATTACAGATTGAATACTCTATACCTACTGACCTTAACTTATTCATATACAAAATAGCCTTTTTTCTCTTGTCTCTTTTGATTTCTAGAAATCAAAAGAGGCAAGAGAAAAAAGCTATTTTGTAGAAATCAAAAGAGACAAGAGCCATAGAAATAATAAGTAATTCCTCAAATGTTTAAAAGGCTCAATAAGCTTTAACAATTGCTAATTGCTATAACTGCTCTTTTCAGTAATGCCAGCCATTGGGGGCTGAAAGTAACAGTCAGATGGCTGAAAATAGCAGTCATTATGATAATAAATGTGTGCTGCTTATTGATTTGAACCTCATGTATAAACTTACCAGATTTTTGTAAGTAAGTAGCTTCACTGGTATGTGGCGGCTGAGCAAATACTTTCATGTCGATGACGTCCACAATGTATGGTTTTAGGTCAATCGTAGTGGAATTTTTTCCTGTATACTTATGAATTTTCCTGATGGAAGCAGATTTCCTTTCTGAGTAGTAGATGTGATCGTAAAAAACTGAAAGCCCAACATTACTTTGTCTTGAAGCCCTAAGAAATAAACAAACATAAAGCTTATTGCCTATTCAAATGAATTCTTGAAATGCCATAAATGATTAGAGCTGGTACTTGTAAATCTGTTCTGTAAAGCATGATTTGCTTGAAGTACAACTGAAGCCAAAACTTTTAGTTTTAGTTTTGGATAGAGTGAAGAGGGATTAGAACACCTGTCAGGTTTTTATTGTTGTCTATGTCCCCCGTTAGGGAGATCCACCTTCTCTACTTGCCCTGGTGAATGTTATCACTGAAAGTGGGGGAAAAAAACCCCGCAAATTTTGGGTTGTCATCAGAACAGGAATAGATGGGAAATCTTCCAATGGGGACCCTAGTTCTGGTGACCCCCGCTGACCACCAGAGATTTCCATCTCACGTCCAGTTGTGACTATTGCACAGTAAGTGAAGTGAAATCTGCTCAGTGGGATACAGAGGGTAAATAAAGCTGACAGGGGTTATAACCATAACTAAAAAAAAAAAAAGATTTGGCTTCAATTTTACTTCAATCTAATTTCTACATCTTCAATGTACAAATTGCCTTTGATAAAGTAAATTCAACAGGCTCTTGGTGAAGCTTGGGCAAAACAATCCTACTGTAATCTGTACTTTCACAGGAGTACTCATCTTCAAACAAATAGCACAAACACAATATCCCAATTAGCAGATCATTTTAGTAAAATAGATGTGATTTTACCCAAACAGATGCACACTTGCTTGTACTATGCCCGACTTTGGCTCTGATTCATCAAGCTGCAGTAACACGTGCAGCTTAAGGCGTGCTAAAGAGTGCTTAAGCAATAATACTGAGAGAGAGAAAGGTCACTTTAGCGATGCTTCAGCACACTTTATGTTCTGTTAGTACTAGTGAGCTTGATAATTTAAGGGCTTTTGTGCAGTTTGGTGTGGAACTTAAAGGAGAACATATGGTGAGTGAAATACATTCATCCCCATAGTTAGAGCCGATGTGTGATATTAAAACTGTCACACATGGGCTCTATTGATCGGGAAGTGAGCGAAACATACCGCCGCTCGCTGAGTTCCCGATGATCTCCCTGCAGAGAGCGGTGACTGTCAGTCACCGCTCCCCGCAGGGATTCCCCACCTCCCCTCTCCGATCCTCCAGCGCTGACTGGAGGGACGGACAGGAGAGGGGGCGGGCATAGCTGGTTCTGCCTCTAGATAGGCAGAGTCCTCTGTCAATGGGCCAGCTGGATGGATCTTGACAGTATTCTGGGGATCCGTCCCGGCTGCGGCGCTCTCAGCATATATCGGACAATAGCTCGCTGTATACTGAGTTAGTATATGTCCTCCCATGACCGTAAAGAGAACTGTGGGATAAAAAGGTTACCCCATAGTTATCTTCTAAAGCTGTTAGGCATCAAATGTTCCAAATACAAGTAACCAACTTCAAATAGAGAGTGGGAATTCTACATTTGAAAAAAAGAAAACCACAAATGAAAAGCCAATTCCTTTCAAAATCTAAGAATCTTGCTTTATAAAACCATAACGGCCAGTAAGATATATTCTTTTTATTCAGTACAAAGTTTGTATTAAAATCCTGTCAGGGACCAGAGCACCTCCAGGTGGCGTTGGAACCTGGTCCTGCAGTTCCTGTGCTCACCTGCAGGTGTCAGGTACCAGACCACCACTGGGTGGTGGTGGATCCTGCAATTCCGGTGCTCACCTGCGGGTGTGTCCCAGCTGTCGGCAATTAGTCTCCACCTGGTGCGGGACTGGGAGGGTATTTAGCCCCTTCTCACAGTGAGGCTGGTGCATCAGTATTGTCGCCATAACCTGTATCCTGTTGCCTATTTTATGTTACTTGTGGGTGTTGGTGGGGTTGCTTGCGTTTATATGATTTTGTATGTCTAATAAACTATAAGTTCATAGCCTTGATTGGTGTGGTCAAGTATTTGGTCCACCTGTATAGATACCTGCACGTGGTGTGGGGCACCTGTGCACGGTATCGTGATAGATCCTCATTATAATCTGGAGTGTCCTCATCTGCATACTGCAAATACCAGCACCTTTCACTTAAGAACAGTCCACATAGTTAGCAATCCAGAGTCCTCGACATTCCTGCTATTATATCAAGGCCTGATGAAGGGGGGTGCTTTAAACCCGAAACACGCTGGTATTGTTTTTCTTTTGTCATCAGATGAATGTTTAAAGAATTTGGATTATGGTTCAAAATAAAAGACTAGACATTCATGACTTGTCAATATACAGAGTAGGTCATGGAGAGTGGGAATGACTGTGCATAAACATTAGATATTTGATGTGTGTATAAACTTACATGTTTAAATATTTAATTACAGTTACAGACTCCCCGTGGTAAGTGCATGTGCCAAGGCTTGATACTGCAGCATCTACTTCAGAACTGACCCAGTAGATCCTTTTGTCTTGTCTGTCCAGTGCTAGGGCTTTCAGTTCCCCTTTCATTACAATAACAGACGTCACATTACTTCCATTCAAACTGGATCTTTCAATGACAGAAACTGAACTCCCCGATGTCCAGAACAGGAATCTGAAAATCAAAAAAAAGGTAACATTTAACTAATAGTATATGCCATTCCAAATGTAATGATACAGTCTGCTTGTTTATTGGTAATGGTTTGGTAAGAATCGATAAACCAAATAAACCATGGTGGCATGATGGATTTTGTTTCTCAGTGGGTGGACGTCATAATGCCTGTTAAAATGACTTGATAACACTGATGCACATGCTAAATAAAGGATTATTATTGTAACAAGATTTCACGATGGTTATCATAAAAAAATAACATTTCTGAACAGTACTCATACATCATATACAGCAAAACAAAATATTTTTTTATAAAATCCCATTGCTAAAGTGCTCCCACAATCAACACCGAATACAGTATATATTGCTTAGAATGGGAGTTAAGTGGCTAAAAAAAAACTAATCTCCAAGATAGGGATCAGCCATATCTCTGATTTCTGGGACAGTATTTAGCGTTGAAAGATTGATCTGCTATACCACTATGCCATCCAATAACTGATTTGCTATACCATTATACCATATAATAACTAATCTGCTATACCACTATAGTGTCTCTGTGTCAAAGCAAATTCAAAATTCCTGTGTAATTCCTGACATCACTCATAGTTATGAAGCTGAATATGGTTAAAAGGGAGCTATAGCGTACACCTTTTTTGCCATTTTTAGCTTTATAATGATACAGGAGTGCATTTTATAATGTACTCCAGTAATCAAGAATCCACCATGAGCTCGTATTTCAATATAATATACTGTGTGCAGGGCTAAGCTCTGTGCTGAGAAACGTTTTTGACAATAGTGTTGGGATCCTCCTAACTCTTCTTTCCTCCCATTGAGTGACAGCACCTTGTAGGAGCTGCTGCATGTTCACAAATACCCGTATTGTACAGGCGCAGCAGCTCTATCCCCGCAGCTCAGCCCTGCCTCCCTTCCATACCCTCTATCTCTTCTTCTCCCTAGGTCATCGTCAGCAACTCCGTCCTGTCGTCCATGCCCACCTCCTTTTCAAGCTTCTGTCTCCATCTCTTCTTCCCCCTGGCTCATTGGGATTAACACAAAGGAGAGCAGCACTTCAGCAACAGATCTTACCTTGTCCAGTTACTGAAGCACTGCTTATTCACAACTTTTAATTACAGAGGTACATTGTAAAATGTACTCCTGTATCAGTGGCGTCACAAGGGGGGTGCGGGGAGTGTGGCCCGCAATCCGGGTGACACCATTGCAGGGGTGACACCAAAATGACTGACAATCATTTTGGTGTCACCCCCTCTAGTAAAAAGTCGGGCACTCGGTCATGGACCGAGAGCCCGACAGTGTCAGGAGAGAACCCGACTGCATACCTTCTCTCTCTGCCGGCGTCCATCACCAAGATGGCCGCCAGCAGGGGTCAATCAGATGGGCGCGCATGTGCATCACGCACGCGCGAGGTGACGTCACATGCACGCGCGATGACGACATGGCGGGGTGTCACCCAGTCTGGAGACCGGGTGACACCCAGCCTCGGGCGCCCCTGTCCTATATCATTAGGAAACTAAAAATGACAAAAAAAGGTGTACCCTGTAGTTCTCCTTTAAGTCTCACTGCCCTGGAATTAGTATGTGGTCCAAGTGTAAGAAATGGCAGCTTCCATATGAGCCTTCTCATAATTTGCAAATGTCTATTCAGTAGTATGTATGGAAAGTAATTTCTGTTTTATCTGCGAAGCTAGCCATACTGGAGATCACAGATTTAGGAATGTGTGTAAAATCATGACTATAATTTCCCTGGACATGACTTGCAAACAACTAGGAATATTGTTTTGGTTTTTAAACATTATTTGCTGGTCTATGTCTGGTAACTTGTAACATTTGCAGAAAATGTAACAGTTACAAAGCACAAATGCTGCAATATTCTCCTTGGCCACTAGTGGTCAGTCCAAGCAAGCAGAAAGCTAAATCAGACGATAATACAACAGAATGCTAACCAACCCCAAGATATTTATTATCAAAAACAAATTTTGTTTACATTTATAACATTTAATGTAAAAAAAATATGAAATGTTCTATACCAAAACCTTTCTCACTTAAAGTATACCTTTTATAAAACATCTGGAGTGGTGAGGGTTTAGAACTCCTGTCTGGTTTTAATTGCTGTTTGTGTCCCCATTAGAGAAACTCACTCTCTCTTATTGTCCTGATCATCAATGCCATGGGAAATAAAGCAAAGCAGCAGTAGAGGGGAAATCCTCCACTTGTTCCCATGGCAAATCTCAAAGTAGAAATTTCCCTCACATTGGAAAGATATAGGGGTAAAAGAAAAAGCACTGTTTCTCTCCTTGGCGGCCGGGAGCGGGAGACTCCCGGAGCTATAGTGAATAGCCCGTACAGCAGCCCTTCGGTTCTACTGAACCAAAGGGGTCCTGGGGCCGAAGCTAGCCGAAGGATCGGCCGAAGCTACGGCTAGATCCTTCGGCTGCTTCGTGAATAGACCCCATACTTTTTTCCTGTTAAGTTTTCAAGACAGGAAGTGAAGAGAAATCTCCCTGGTGAGACAAGAATGGCAAAAAAAAAGTTTTAACCCTCTCCTACTCTATCTAAAATTAGATTTAGATACACTGTAAAGGATATCATAAAAAACAGAGTAAGAACTGTATGTAAAAGCAAGGGTTAGGAATAGAAAGGGTTAGACCCTAGGGAGATTTACCTCTTTATTTGTCCTCGTGACTACTGCCATGAGATCAGGGAGTGAAGGGAAATCTTCTAATAGAGACAAGTGTTCTAGTGACAACAATCTAAAATCCAGTGGTGTATTTAGGTTTTGTGCTGCTCTAGGCAAGACTACACTCAGGCCCCACCACTTCTTGTTTAAGACATTTTGCGTAACCTGTCAGCCGCCGAATCGAGCTTCTGACAGGTTGCGTTTCGTAGCAAGAAAGCCGGGCGGCCTCAGGTGGCCTGTAAAGGATCTCTTGTGGGCTCTGCAGGGTCTCAGCAGAGACCTTGCAAAGCCCACTGTAGAGCCACAGAACCCACCTGAGACCCCGCAGAGCCCACCTGAGACCCCACCATAGACCCTGCAGACCCCACCACAGACCCTGCACACCTCCCCATAGATCCTACACAGCCCACCTGAGACCCTGCAGAACCCACCACACACCCCGCATAGCCCACCTGAGACCTTGTAGAGCCAACCACAGACCCCGCATAGCACACCATAGACCCCGCATAGCCCACCTGAGACCTTGTAGAGCCAACCACAGACCCCGCATAGCACACCATAGACCCCGCATAGCCCACCTGAGACCTTGTAGAGCCAACCACAGACCCCGCATAGCACACCATAGACCCCGCATAGCCCACCTGAGACCTTGTAGTGCCCATCACAGACCCAACACAGCCCACCATAGACCCCGCATAGCCCACCTGAGACCTTGCAGAGCCTACCACAGACCCCCGTATAGACCACCATAGACCCCGCATAGCACACCTGAGACCTTGCAGAGCCCACAATAGCCGACCATAGAGCCCGCATAACCCACCACAGACCCCGCATAGCCCACCTGAGACCCTGCAGAGCCCACCTGAGACCCCGCATAGCCTACCATAGAGCCTGCATAGCCCATCTGCGACCTTGTAGAACCCACCACTGACCCCGCATAGCCCACCATAGACCCCGTATAGCCCACCTGAGACCTTATAGAGCCCACCACAGACCCCACATAGCCCACCTGGGACCCTGCAGAGCCCACCATAGACCCTGCAGAGCCGACCTGGGACTCTCAGCTGGGCTGTGCAGGATCTATGGTGGGCTATGCAGGGTCCCTTTCCCTGCACACATGTGCTCCTCCACTTACCTGAAGCCCTCGCAGCCAGCCTCTGGGTCATCCCACCATCAGATGCTGGGGTATGGGCAGCATTGAGCCGCCTGTAGCTCTGCTCCCTGCTCTCTGCTCTGCTCCCCGCCTTTGGCCCCGGCCCCTCCTCCACCCTGCCTCCGGTCCAGCCTCCTTCTCCTCCACCCAGCAGCTCTCTCAGGTAATATGTTACAAAAGATCCACATCAAAGTGTCAGTGGGGTTTTATGAGCCATCAGACTTCAATTTCAAAAATGTACAAAATGTATTCTCAATTCCATAAAATTTTCATAGATTCCATTAAAACCATCCATGTACATACATAGTCTCAATTCTGCCTTTTTGCCACATTAATCAATGTATATAATTATGTTTAACCATGTGCTATGTTAAAAAGTATGATGTCTCATGACCATCTGGAGCTCATAGATCTGGGTAGTTACTAATTGTGTTTCCTAGCTCTCTCAGGTAAATTAGACGGCCGCGAGACCAAGCAAGCGGCCGCCTAATTAGCCTGATTAGGCAGCTGAGGGTGCGTTTTACTGCCCCCCTGCAAAGTGCCGCCCAAGGCAAACGCCGGAACTGTGGCCAAGCTATCACCGACAGCTCAACTGCCGATGGTCAGGAGACAGTAGGATGGGCTCCACATTGCATCATTACGGTGCAACCAATCACAGTGAATGAATAAATGAACGTGAACCTCTCCTACCAACCTGTGTCTACTTTAAAGGCCATCTCCTGGCAGCGGCAAGGGGTTAATGAACACACAACTGCATTAATGAGTGTTGTTTTTCTATTTGCTCGGAGTTCAGCCTCAAGCAATTCGAGGCTGTCTGCTTTACTGGCCACCAGAAGAAACACTTCCACTATTTCTTTACATTGGTTTTTATACATGAGATTTGTTATATATTGCTTTATTACCAGCAACTTATTTGGTAGTAACAAATATTGTAATTACATTATTAGGAATATAATATGTTCTTCCACAGTATAAGTAATATGAAGTTCTAAAGTAGCATATACCCCTCCACAGGATCAACAGAAATGAAGGTGGGATGAACTAAACCTCTCAAAAGGGTTCGAGATTTCTTCCCACTCAAGCTGGTCCATTCTATGGTTCCCTTGTTCTGGTTAGTCCAAAAGATCATTTTGTGTTTCCAGTCCACTGTAAATAGTGTGGCTCCCTGCACTACAGCGCGCATTCTCTGGAAAAGAAAATTACAGGACAGAGCCAATACAGAGAGGTAAGACACATATAATAGTCAACTCAAACATGTCATTAATAAAACAAAGACCAATTCAACAAATAAAACCACAAAATTTAATTTTGGAATAACTGAATCATGAATGTAAAATGATGGTTTTATCTAAAGTTACTAAAGCTACTAAAGCTACTAAAAGTATATCTAAAGACATATAGTTAGTTTGAGCTAGAATGGGGAAGGGTTAGATCATCTGTCTGGTTTATATTGCAGTCTCTATCCTTCTGCTAGAAAGATTCACTCTCTCTATTTGTCCTGATGAGCAATGTCACTGGGATAGAGATCCAAAATTAAACAGTTGTCACTGGTACAGGAGGTGAGGGAAAATCTTTAAATGGGGACACCTGTTTCAGTGACATCCAATTGTTTTTATTGATGTTTGTGTCCTAGTTAGGGAGATTTACCCTCATGTTCATTCTCTCTTAAGCCATCAACCAGGCAGGTTAATCAAAAATGTTTGTCAAAAAGCAACAGCAATACATTGTGGACAGAGGTTCCAACCCCTCCCACACTTTATTTACAAAAGAGTTTTATTTCGGATATGTAGTTTATAAACATGCTGAGAAACAGTAAGTGGGATAAAGCCAAAAGTTGGCTTTATTCTCTGGCATAAATTGTATTAACCCCTGCAGTGGGGCTACCCCACCTTGCAAGGATTAAGTGCTTGTTTTGGGCCTCGCTCCCCCTCCTCTGCAGCATTCTAAGGTCCCTGAGTCATCATGTCCTATACACAGGCTGGAGGCAGCGCATTTGTGCCCAAATACATTGGGGGGAATTTATCAAAACTGGAGCAGATTTGAACTGCAGCCCATCAGCTTCTCTCATTCATTTTTTAATTTTACCTGAACAAACTGAAGAGAGATGCTGATTGGTTGCCATGGGCAACTGCTCCAGATTCTGTCTGCTCCAGTTTTGATAAATTCCCCCCCATTGTGTTGAAAGGTGTTTTCCTTTTATTCCTGTTCTGGTGGTAACTCAAAATCTAAGATTTTCTTTAACTTTCACCAGTATAAATAGAGAGGGCGAATCTCCCTAACAAAGACACAGAGAGCAATGGATACCTGACAGATGTTCTAATCCCTCTCTACTCTATCCAAAATTAAAACAAAAAGGTTTTGGCTTCAGTTCTACTTTAATTCATTTGGATGGAATAAAGGACAATTGGGCTGAATTTTGGGGCACATCTGTTGGCAAGCGGAGTCAAGGGAAAATATCAGATAGGTCAGCCTAGATTACTGCTCTTCCATGATAGTACAAAAATCACAAGTTGGGGATTTTTGCTTGTCACACAAGCATATGGAATTGTAAGACACCATGCTATTTAAGATAATATGTGTGTTTAATTCCACCAAAACAATATTTCAGTTTTGCATGGTTGTTGGCAAGTTAAGTCACATGCTTGCTTCATATACAAATAATAGTGTAGCCCCCATCACCTTCAGTGATGTGACAACTAGACATTTAGTGATAGCCAGGGCTGTAGTCAGCCTGGCTGAATTATAGTGGCAGTTAGTTGGTTAATTCCAGGTGGCTGGCATTGACTGTCCCCCCCCTGGGCAGAGTGTGACTCTGTCATATTGTGGGACTGCCAATGAGAGGCACTGTAGTGTATGTACATTACAGCAGCCAATCACTGAGTTTCTCTCTCAGCCAGTGGTGCATGCTGGGATAGGGTACATATACTGGTGGGATTTGCCATGTGCTCAGACTAGCCGGGACCAGCCATGGAATAGGGCTGGGTGCTGTTCAGCCTGCCCCCCCACCAGGCTAGGCCTAAGGCCTGAGGTGGGCATGGGCTGGTGTGAGGGAAAGGCTTCCCTGAGGCCTCCAGCATGGAGGAGGCCTGTGATGCTGATGGAGGAAGAGAACCGGGACCAATGCAGGCTGTTGAAGTACCCTGGAACTAAGTGGAATTCAGGAGCATGGTCGGTGTCTTTCCTGCTTGAGGGTCTGTAGCCATCCTGTTACATCAGTTGCTGTCCGCTGTTTCCCAAGTGGATCTACACTAATATTCCTACAAGGTCTGGTGAGTCTGGAGCTTTTGTTGGTTACCCCTGGACACCTAGAACCCCTATACACTCTCTCCCCAGTGAAGATGTTCAATAAATTGTTTACTTAGCATTTTACTACTGGAGTGGACATCAGTTTATGGGCACCAGAAGAAGGGCAGTTAGTGCTAATGGGTGGGCAGCTGAAGAACATACACTAGACAGACTAGAAATGAACCGGGCATTCAGCGGCTCCTCTAGTTTTTGTAACGGAGTTAATTTTAAACAGTTTATCGCTAATGTTGCTACCATCATTAAACATTTTGTAATGGAAATCATATCCCCCTTAATCTCCTCACCTCTAATGTGAACATGTTTAAATTTAGTAGCCTTGTCTCGTAGCTCTGGTCCTCCATACCCCTAATTAGTTTGGTTGCCCTCCGCTGGACTTTTTCCAACTCAAGGACATCTTTTCTTAGTACTGGTGACCAGAACTGGACCGCGTACTCCAGATGAGGTCGAACCAATGATCTATAAAGTGGTAAAATTATAGACTTGTCCCTGCAATACATCCCCTTTTTAATACAGGACAAGACCCTGCTAGCTTTGTTTACAGCAGCCTGGCACTGCAAACTACCTTTCAGTTTGTGGTCTACAATGACCCCCAAATCCTTCTCCATTTCTGACTTCCCCAGCGGCATACCCATAATTGTATAACCCATTTGTTTATTTTTAATTCCAAAGTGCATTACTTTGCATTTATCGACATTAAACCTCATCTGCCACATTAATGCCCACTCCCCTATTTTATCCAGGTCCTCCTGTAATGTTATAGTGTCTAAGTCCGTGTCTATTACCCTCCCTATTTTGGTGTCATCCGCAAACACGGAAATATCGCTGTTAACACCCTCCCCGATGTCATTAATAAATAAGTTGAACAATATGGGACCCAGCACAGAACCCTGAGGCACACCGCTCATTACACTAGTAGGTGGTGTATATAAAAATGCTGCAAGAAGACACAATGTAAGGAGTAAAGATGAGCCTGAGCTTGCTGTGAACCCAGTTCTCCTGAGTTCGCCCAAGCCTGCTCAAAACTGTGAGTGCCATTTCGCCCTCCCACCCCAATCGGCAGGGGGCATTCCCTACCCATTTGTGATGTGTAGCAGCAGGGTGGGAAAGGCACCTTTCCACAACTGATTGGGTGTGGCAGTCACAGTTTTGAGCGGGTTGGGTGAAATCAGGAGGGTTGGGTTCCCACCAAGCCCAGACTTATCACTCTCAAGGAGCTGGTTAATTATTCAGATATTAGTGCCCACCACCAAAAATGTCAAGTTTTGGTGCCATTTATTGTCCATCCACCACTTATCTACTCTGTTACACACATGCACATTTGGTACACTGTAATGTGCTAGTAATTGTTGATTTTCGCTATCCATTTCCAAGCAACTTACCTCACGTTTAGTCCCATTCAAGAAAACTCTTTGAAGAAAACCTCTGTTGAGGTCAAGCCAGTAGACTCTTTGTTCTTGATGATCAAAATCTAGAGAGGCTAAAGACCCTGTGTTACGTACTACTGTTCTGAAATTGGCCCCATCACTGTCAATGCTGAAAATTCTATTTCCATGACTAAACAACAGGAACGGCATTTGAGCTGAAAATAGATAGATACAAAGTTATTTCAGAGGAAATCACATTATACTGTATGAAAACAAAATTGACTATGATCAAATACTGAAATATGCCTTTTATTCGAAATGAAAATTGCAAAAGCAAACCCTGACAGAGCTTAAAATGTATAAAATATGAATATATTTGTATGATACCTGGTGTCATATCTTCAATATACATATATCAGTTTCAGTACTTTTATTACATACTTCCTTTACTGACCAATTATCTTAGATGTGTGAAAGTTCAACATGCAAAACATGAAACCATTGTACATGGATAGATGTTGATAATATCACCATTGGTATGTGTTTGCTTTATCCTTTTTAAATATAGCTTCATACTTATTCATTAATTAATTATCTGCTAGATCAGCTATTTACACTATGCCCTGTAGTAATGCACATGCAATAAAGTAGTATTAAAGGAGAACTATAGCCAAATCCTTTTTTTTTTTTCCTTAAAGTTCAGAGAGCACTGTAAGAGATGGGTTGAAAAAAATGGCAATACATCTTCATCATTACAGAACACGCCTATTTGAATGTGACTAAAGATTACTATGTGGGAAAAGGGCTTTTCTGGTGCTGAAATCTTTAAATCTCAGATGATTTGTCATTTTCAAATACAAATATAGGATACAAATACAAATATAGGACAAAAGCTGATCTCATATTATACATATACAATGCTAGGAAATGAGGAAACAATTTCAGGGTGCTAAAGATTAAATTGGCCTTGACAGTAAGGGTTTCCAAAGAATATACGGTATGTTGTTTGCACCAATAGAAGCACGGTATCAGTTAATTTAAACAGCCTTGCTGCTGTGGATTGTTTACATTGAACAATGTAGTGTGAGAATATGTAAAAAATGTAGACGGTGCTTACGTCAATTGCAAACGTATGCTGAACCTGTCCATTGATCCTAAAGAACTTCAGGTCTGACATTCACTAACAGTATTGCAGCAGCACATTAAACTTGATATTTGCTAATAGACTCCTTTTCTCTTCTGATCAACTTAGGTGGATTTATACACGGAAGATCTTTATGTCAGCTGCTTATATCACACTGAATTTGAAAAATGTATTTCCACCTAAAGATAGTTAAGAGCAGCAAGTGTTTTAAGTGTTTATGTCACTCTAGACAGAGGTTTTATATTTGGGAATAACAATTTGACATTTCTGTGTATTAAAAGTACCTAATATAGAAAGAAAAAGTAAACACCAAAAACATTTTTCAATTATTCCACAACCTAAAAATAAGTAACAAACATGTATACAAAACAGCTTTTAGGTAATGAAGATGGCCTTCCTGAAAGTCTTATAGTTGAATTAAATTGTGTTGTCTTTCTTTTTTTATTGACCCAAAACTTTTGCTAAAATATTTTTGCATTTTTGGCCCTATATATAATGTCAACCTGCTGACTCATGTCATGACTCACAAGGCTGTAGTGCTCACTGCAAAGTGCCATGCAGAAACTGGAATGACAAAGCTTATCATTAGCTTTTGGCACTGCTATTTGGATTCATGTGCTTCTCATCATACTTTTAGCATTAGGTAAGTATTTGGCCAGTAATTCAGGTGATTGGTTAGACTCTTCACATAGGCACTTTATATGCAGCATACTGTAAGCATATTGTGCATTTTAGGCACATTTTGCATGCATTACCACTGGATTCTCTGTGAAGTATGATTTCCTGGAAACTGCATTCAAAATTAAGCAAGAAGGACATTCTCTTAAAGCAGAACTCTGGGAAAAATTTTTCTTAACCTTTGCACAGTGGGGCAGTGGCATAGCATAGGTTGTCAGCGCTCGGGGCAAGGCAAGCATTGCGCCCCCTACTCCGTGGACCATTAGCGCTCCCTGAGTCCCTTCTACCAGTACAATATAGAGCTCCTCACCAGCCAAGAACACTTTCACTGTAATGTTTATTCACTTTTTTGCCTTGCTCCATTTTCACTTTTTAACACTCAGTCCCCTCATTGTTTAATCATTTTTTTAAACTTTAAACATTTATAAAAAAGGAAGAAATTATTAAATAATGAGGCGACTGAGTGGTAAAAAGTAAAAACGGAGCAGGGCATAAAAGTGAATAAACATTATAGTAGCAGTCTCTTCAAATGGGAAATCCTGCTATTAATAGGTGTCCTTATCTGTGTCATACTATATGGCTGTTTTTTATTTTGCACATACACACACACGCACATTCGGATACATAAATACATACACACTTTCAGAGGTCCCTTTCACACCAGCCTGTCCGCTAAAACACTGCGTTTTAACAGGTGGCCTAGTGCATTGTGACACCTCCGGTAGGTTGTGTTGTATCATACACTGCTGAAGCTGCCTCTGTTTACTTTTTTTTTTAACTTTATGTGGAGTGTACAAAATTTACCAGCACCTAGTTGGGATGCACCGACACCGTGTTTTTGGTATCGAGTACGAGTACTGATATTTTTTTTTTTTTGGTACTCACTGATACTGAATACCGATACGGAAGTCCCTTTAAGGAAGCCGGGCAGTGTGTAATGACTCACCGCCCGACTCCCTGATTAGCCGGAAAGCTGTTTCCATGCTCCTTCATCACCAGGTGACCGGGAAGCATGGAGCCTGCTTTCTGGCAAATCAGGAAACCAGGGAGGCAGGTAATAACTCGCCGCCTGGCTTCCTTATTGGCCATCTTCCTGAGCAATCATTGGCCAGGAAGCCAGCTCCATGCTCCCTGGTATTGGGTGCATTTGGCTGAGTACTAGTACCAAATACTTTGTATCGGCACCGATAACGATACTAGTATACTGAGACTTTGCAAAAGCGTTTGACACAGTTCCCCACATGCGGCTAATGTATAAGTTAAGGTCAGTAGGTATAGAGTATTTGATCTGTAATTGGATAGAAAACAGGCTTAAAGACCGTATTCAGATAGTGGTGATCAATGATTCGTACTCTGAATGGTCTGAGGTTGTTAGTGGTGTCCACCAAGGTTCAGTGCTGGACTCCTTACTCTTTTGGTAGATCATAGACTGAATAATAGCATGCAATGTCAAGCCGCAATTTCTAAACCCAGCAAAATACTTTCTTGTATTAAGAGGGGTATAGAGATAGAGACATAATCCTGCTCCTGTACAAAGCATTAGTAAGACCTCATCTGGAATATGCAGTTCAGTTTTGGGCACCAGTTCACAAAAAGGATATTGTGGAACTGGAGAAAGTGCAGCGAAGGACGACTAAACTCATAGGAGGCATGGAGGAGCTCAACTATGAGGAAAGATTAGCTGACCTGAATTTGTTCTCTCTGGAGAAGAGGCGATTAAGGAGGAACAGTTTCACTATGTATAGATACATAAAAGGTCCATATAGTGAGGTTTGTGCCAAATTGGAACAGACTCCCCCAGGAGTTAGTTCTAGCTAGCTCAGTTAACTGTTTTTTGTTTTTTTTAAATCTGGATGTATTCCCAAATGCACAGAATATTACTGGATATTGAGTTCTTATAGGTATATTAAGCACCAGAGATTGTTGATCCAGGGATTTTTTTTAACCTGTTGGAGCAAATTGAACTCTGCTTTATAGGGGTTTTTTTTTGCCTTCCTCTGGATCAACATTGGGTAACTGTTGACATAGCATTCTGTTTTAGGTTTTTTTTTCTTTTTCCATCTCTATAGGTTGAACTCGATGGACTTGTGTCTCTTTTCAACCCGACTTACTATGTAACTATGTAACAGATGTGAACACCGCAGATCATGTAAAATGTTTCATGTCAATCACAGCCTAAAAACCGAAGCACCACAGGCTCTGCCACCCATTCCATAAACCAAATGCACAACATCTGCTCATCATCATCATCCAATAGAAAGGTGTTCTGTACACGCATATACACATGCAGTACGTAGGGGGGGGGGGGGGGAGGGGGAATGCACCTCCCTGAAAAATGATGGCAGATAGCAGAGAAGCTAATGCTTCCCTTGCTATCTGCTGGGGGTTTTTTTGTATTCTGACACCTTCTGCTGTCAGAATGAAACAAAAAAAAATGGACAGCATAGGAATGAATAGCTAGGCTTTTTTTGCATGTTTTTGCTTTCAGTTCAATTCACAGGAGGTCACAAGGACACTGCATTTCTGACACAATCAACAGGTATTTTCTGTGTTTACAGCAGAAGCCCACATGCAGAAAAGAGACAAAATTCCCACGGGGACCACAGGAGGGAATCATCCCAGGGCGTCTGACGCCAGAGTATAATTACCACGGTAGGTACACAATTCTTAGCCTGGTGGTCCAGTGGCTTCCACCCCACAGGTAGGAAGATTGCAATCTTAGTTACATAATGGCAGTTCCTAACATGGGTTTTTAATTGGTGACAGGACATGGTCCTGTGAAACCTAGAATGTCAAAGTGTAATGGCTTGTTAAAACAGAACCTGGATATTGTAACCAAAATTACTTCTTCCACCTAAGAACAAATATAATATATTGCATCTAACCAATCCTTAGATGTATCAACTACAATATTTTTCTTTTTCTGGGCTTTCCTCCCCTTTTTCACCCGGTAATCATGCACGTAACATGCTTTCTCTTCCACTGTATCTACTGTATGGTGACAGCCATTGTTGTCATAGATGCTGGACTTCAAACATGTCGGCCTTAGTTAATCTTCATTATATGGTGGATGGATGATGGTACAAGTAGTTTAGGCAATTCAGAAAAGGTTTTGTTCTTTCTTTTTAGCTTACAGGAAGTGACAAGCACACTGCATTTCTGGAAAGTTGTAGCTGTTCATAGCATTGACAGTGTCAACAATATCTTACCATAAACACTTCTTTGTTTCTTTGTGAGCGTATCTATCTGCTCTTTAATGTGTAGTCAAAATTTGGGGCTATTTTTTGCATGAGGAGTACATTTTTTTCTTTGTCTTAGAAAACCTCATATTTCTGAGTCACCAATGTATTTTGGACAGTTAATTATAAGGTCCAGTATGCATTGCTGTGGATT